AGTGTCCATGGCCTCGCTGTCACAGATCCCAGCAGAATGGATCTCACGTGGTGAATGTTTATTTGATCTCTGGATAGGAAAGCTCTCTAAGTTTAAAGTCAAAAGAAACCTCAGAGGAAAGGATTTCTGTGAGCAACTTCACTGACAGGAAAGGAGGGGAGAGGAGAGAAGGGGGGCCCCGAGCTTTCCTAACCGGCAACCTACTAACCTCCCTACTCCTGCCGAGAGGGCAGAGGGGTTTCCTAAATTAGCCATGAGAAAAGGAGGCGCAGCACACACCTGCACAAATAAGAGCTGAGCGGGGGTGGGGTGGGGAGGGGGCAGAAGACAGATGAAGGAATCATAACACAAAGGACAACAGACTTAGAGATGCAAGTTCAGAACTCCAGGGAGCCTGGAATTTCCTAATCTCATCTGCTGGCTGCCTGGATACAGAAAGGCTTTTCCTCAGGTTGCCCCCCCCCCCTCTATATTTACGACACATGGTAAATGACTGTACACTTGGAGCTTAGAGGTTGTCTCCCTGAGGGTATCAGCCATCTAGATCAATCAGACTCTATAGCCTGTCCTACCCTAAGTAGGGCCCACTCCCTGCTAATAAAGAACATGGATTGTTCCCATGAAGGAGAGCCCAAGACAAAGTCAAGGTTAGGCTGACCAAGGTCAAGACCACTCCAGGAGGACCAAGGTTAGGCTGCCACGTTGAATCTAGAGTCTGCCCATCTTGTCCCATGTGTACCCCGAGTGCCTCCCCTTCCTATAGCGTGTACACCCCTAGCTTGTCCCCTTCCTGTCGTGCATATGCCTATTGTACAGCCCTTCCTGTTACGTATGTGGTTACCTGTAATCAGGGAGGCTTGCACATCCCCCCAAATGTACAGGAGCCGTGATTGGAAATACATCCTCTCTCTCTGCGGACCTGGCTGCTGAGGTCACAGCGGTCTGGGAGGTGAGCAATTGCACGCCTTATATAGTATGATGTCTCTAATTTTACCCCTCAACTGCACAACCACCCCTTGAACCCGTTTCATTGTGGGGGCTGGTACCCCACACCTGGGCACCCTGGCCAACAACCATGGCTTCCCAAGAGAGCACCCAGGTGTAAGAGGTGGATTATGAAAGGCACCCATTTCTCCACCCCACCCTGCAGCTTCTCCCATAAAGAGTCTACAGAGGATGTACACTGGTACAGATAAGAACTGGAAACACAGGGAATCCAGGATGGAT